CCATTCCATGGGCTGTAGCCCAAGACTGGATCAAAAGGAGACAGTAAGCTAAGTATGACCAACCATTCATGGCTTTCTCTGTCCTTAAGGCAGACACAAAGTAACCAGCTGTCTCACTTCTGACACAGCTCCACCTACTGTGATGGACTGTAACCTCAAAACTGTAAGCCTAACAAACTTTCCTATAAGTTGCTTTTGTCAGGCATTTTGTGATAGCAACCAGAAAAGTAACTAATACAGTAGAAAAAGTCTAAGTATCAGGGTACAGAGCAGCTTCTGAATTGGCAGAGAAGGTAGCAACATATGAGCTTTGTGGGCTTGAGCAGTTATGTCTACAGGACTCTGGAGGGGACAGTATCCCTTAACCAGGATGTCTTCAACAGAGCACCTCAAAAACTTTGTGCAGGCAACCTTCACAGAAGTTAATGAAAAAGGTCTTCATGAAAAGACTAATTGGACTGGCCTTTCAAGAAAGATGGTACCAAACCAGGCGGTGGTGGCACATGCCTTTAATCCCAGTGCTTGGAAGGCAGAGGCAGGCGGATCTCTGTGAGTTCAAGACCAGCTTGGTCTTCAAGAGCAAGTTCCAGGACAGTCTCCAAAGCCACAGAGAAACCTTGTCTCGAAAAACAAAACAGAAAGGCAGGAAGGAAGGGAGGGAGGAAGGGAGGGAGGCAGGGAGGAAGGAAGGAAGGAAGGAAGGAAGGAAGGAAGGAAGGAAGGAAGGCACCAAGTCCCAAATCAGTCCCTTACTCTATCACCATTACTTCTTCAAATCTTTTACCATGCATGATAAATGTGAACTGCTTCACACCGATCCTGATGCTTTAACATACTCAGAATTTCCACAAAGTGACTGGTTATGTTTTGTTTTGTTTTTTTTTTTTGAGACAGAGTTTCTCTGTGTAATAGCTCTGGCTGTCCTGGTATTCACTCTGTAGACCAGGCTGGCCTCAAACTCATCTGCCTGCCTCTGCCTCCCAAGTACTGGGATTAAAGGTGAGCACCACCACCACCTGGCACACAGAATGACTTTTTAGAACTCATCTTGTGTAGGGCTCTTCTTCCAAGCAAGCAGGCCAGCTCAATTTTCTTTCTTTTAAGATCCTCTGAGATGGGTCACAGAAATGGAAAAGAAGATAAAGGAGCCAGTATCTTACTGTATGAGGTGCAGTGAAAGTTAATGGAAAAAGAGGGTTTACCTAACATGAGCAAGACTCTGGGTTTCAATCCCCAGCAAACCCAATCCAAGTTAGTGGAAAAGAAAGGCTCAGATAGAAACAAAAATATGTCATAATTACCCAAACAAGTATAAATCCTCTACAACCAAACCTCTAGAGTTAAGAACAAGTGTTATGAGTGCTATGGTAATAAGCTTTGAATAGAACTTTATGCTGAGATAATTACAGAAGCTAGCTCTGATTTGAGGGAGTATGAGTACAGATGAAGGGAGAGGGACTGTTAGTTTTGATCATAAATTCCTACAATCCTATTGAATATCACCAAGTACATGTACTCCTTTAACAGCAATTTTTAAAAATAGGCTGCTCTTCAAAAGGGGCCCTGTCTCATCCTAGGCTGCTTGTTCTGCTGTTAAGAAGTTCCTTGCTGGGGCTGGAGAGACAGCTCAGCAGTTACAAGCACTACCTGCTCTTGCAGACGATCTGAGTTCAAGTCCCAGCACCCACAGAGTGGCTCACAACAATCTTTAACTCCAGTTCCAAGGGAACGAACATCCTCTTCTGGCCTTTGCAGGTAACAGGCACATATGTGGCCCATGGATACATAGGCAGGCAAAACATCCATCAAAATTTTTTCCTAAAAAAGTTCCTTCCCATGTCTTAAGGTCTATTATAAATCTTTAAGAACTCAGCTCATCTTTTCCCTTTCACCTTAATGGTAAAGGAAGAATGATTTCTACATTTTTTTCTGTAGACACTCTGGATTGAGCAGTCCAGCAAGCTCAAGCCCCACCAGGAACCAAGTATGCTTGCCCAAGGTCTCAAAGGAGGGTGGCATCAGGGAAGAGGGCATTCTCAACTACGGCCTTGGGGGAAGGGCAGTGGTCTCACAGTAGTTAGGTCAATATTGATCAAGCTGAGAACTCTGTACAAGGCCAGGGAGCAGGTAGAAGCAGATTCCAGCCAGACAGCCCAAGCCTGCTCCAGGAGCCCCTGATGAGACTGACAGCTGGGAAAGGAAGCAACCTGCATTGCTCACCTATCTCTGAACCAGTCCTCCTTGTTTAAGTCCCAAATGTGCTTTAGACTAGGTCCTCTTTTGTCCCAGGCCAATTACTGAAAGGATACTCCCAAACCTCTTTCCCAAACCAAAGCAGCTCTCAGTTTGCTATATTAGTGTTCAGGAAACATGTACTTATGCAGTGTGGAACAGATGAGAAGTGAGGAAAACTAGAGGTATGATTTCTGGTTAAGGATGCATCTAAGGAGGGACGGTCTCCCATAAATGGGGATCATTACTAGATTGCACTTCAAGTAATTTTGGGGTAAGAAGTGGGCCAACATGGTATAACCATTTTCTTTTCTTTCTTTTTTTTTGGGGGGGGCAGTTTGAGACTGGGTTTCTCTGTGTAACAGCTCTGGCTGTCCTGGGACTCCATTTGTAAACCAGGCTGGAACTCAGATCCAAATTCTGCCTCCCAAGTGCTAGGATTAGAGGTGTGCCCCACCACTGCCTGGCTTGTATAACTATTTTCAGACCTGAACAGTCCTAGAGAGGGAAGAGGAATAGCGTGCCTGTGCCATCTTCATTATCTAAGGTTGAAAGAGATGTGCAAGACAAAGCAGCATCTAGTTAGCTGCTAAGTCCAGCATGCTCCTACCTTCCAAGGGCTCTTCTACAAACACATTTCTGACCACAAAATTTGGAGTTATGGATCAAGTTTAGAAGGAAAGGCACAGGTGTGATAGAAGAAAAAAAAGGCAGGGTTGAAAAGTAGCAGGCCAGGAGCTTGTGTTTCAAACTGATTTTATACTCAGAGAGATCAGAGAGATCAAAATATCAAAATAAAGGGAAAATCTCAAGATGACAAAATCACTAGCAATAAATACATTTTGCCTAAGAACCTGCAGTGTTTTATAAATTAAAAAAGTATAATTCTTCTCCCAAAAGACATCCTGCTACTAGCCTATTATTGCACTGGTACTTAAAGAATGGGCCATTTTTCTCAAAAGAGAATTTTCAAGTTCAAGTGAGGAAGTTACATGTTGAACCAAGAATCCTGAACATGCCGGCCCTTTACACCATCTCATGTTCCTTTTCCCAGACACACACACACAACTTCACCCATTAGGCCAAGTGCTTATGAAACTAACCAACACTATTCCACTAGACTTCGTCCAGTAAAGTAATGATTTGGTCTAGACAGGAGTAGTAGATACTATCCTGTGACCTAACCAAGTCCCAAAATAAATAATCTGAAGCAAAATTTCTCATAACTTCATTCAGCTTCCACGAAGGCCTGTCATTCTCTCCTAGTGGTTGCTCCTAAACAGTCAACGAAATATAATGTGATTGATAGCGACTTCTTGAAAAGTTGTTCCATCCTTCATTAACACATCTGTCCACAAAAGCCGGAGACAGCTGAGGCTCCCCTCCTCCCAACATTTTCTTCTTAGTTCAAGGTTTAGCTGATCTGAAATAAGTGATGTGTGTAGATAAAGGGTGTGATAGAGGCCACAGGGAAAACAGAACCCAGGGAGACAAAGATCGACAAAATCCTGGAATGGGGATTTTTGTGTGTGTCACAAGTTGGAAATCCCTAATCTGAAGGGCTGTTCACATCACCTCTCTTTCCTACAGGAACCATCCTCCGGAGGCCTGGGGATTGAGAAAGGGGAAAAGAAAGCCAAAGATAGCTACAGGTATCATCAGGCACCCCAGAGAAGTGTTGAGCACTAAGGTCAAAGTAGATGGGATCTTGGACACGATGACAACGGTCTGAGAGCCTTCAAGAAGGGAATTGGAAATTCTTGGAAGCCAGGAGCTGGGGGAGTGGGTTAAGGTGAGGTAATGGAATCGGAAGCACAAGAGAGGGATACGATCTCTAGCTGAGGGAAATGGGAACTCTGTGCTGAGGTTGCACAGACTACGAGGAGTGGGGAGAAATAGGAAAAGGGATAAAGGCGGACCCCATGGGAAAGATTTGGGCGCAGAAACACAAACGGCGAGGAAGGGCAAACAAGGATGGACATTGTAGAAGGGGTGTAATGTGGAAAAGGTTCACGGCTTAGAGAACTAGTTAAGGGACAGAGGCAACAGGGGAAAGAAGTGTGTGGTGGTGGTGGGGGGAGGTGGAATCCACGGGACAGAGGGAGGGGCTAAACAGAAGAGGAAGCCAGAAAGCAGAGAAGACGACCCCGGGCCCGAGAGAAAGAGTGAAGAACCTCAGGGTGCAGCTCCCACTAGGAGGGCAGTTTTGTAGTCGAACCCAGGTGGCTGTAGGCTGTGCGGGACAGGATGGCAGAAGGACCCTCCCCCCGCCCCCGCCCCCAGGCAAAGGCGACTCATGGGGGAGGAGTCGCTTACCTCCGGGGGACCCTCG